AAATGATCCATACTAGGAAGGCATGGAGACTATCTTGCAGCAAATGCCCCCAAATTAAATAACAACAAACTCTAAATTCCATGAGCAGATAGGCTGTTAGCCATGTTAGTCTGAAGTCAGTCAGAAAATAGGGCACAGTGGTACCCAATAGAGAGGCATGAGCTTTTGTAGGAAAAAACCTACTTCATCAGATGCTAGCATCTCTTTAAATATGACAAATCTAGCATCTGACAAAGGTTGTTGCCTATAAAACCTCTCAATCTTCTGTCTAAATTCCATGGTGATGTCAATTTATTGGAGCACCATGAAGTCTTCATGGAACTACCCATCAATACAAAACCAGACTAGAACCCGTGCTTGTGATACAACATCCATCCACGAATATGAATCATCTATAAAGCTGAATGGGAAATTTCAAAAGTATGAGTTTTGGAAGGCTTTCTGGAAAAGGATGTGGCACAGTTAGGGGCAACCATCTTTGTTTCCAAAGTATTTTCTTGAAGCCTAAAGGGTTTTAAATTACTTTTCTTTTCCTTTTGAAATAGAGATTTTACAGCCAGTTAATTACAACAAGGAGAAAAAACGCCAGAGAATCTTTGAAGGGCAACTGAAACTATTACATTTTTACTAATAATCTGAAGACATTTGTGCAGCATTGAACATGAGTTTACACACAAAAAAAAAATTTGCTTGACATCCTCTGAGTACTCTCCCCAATCCCCAGTCCTAAATCTGCTGGAATTAACTGTTCTTAAAGTTATCAGCCCATTCAACAAGGGCCCCAGTTGCATACCAGAAACAAATCCGAGATGAATTCAGGTCATCAGGTTTTCTTAATGCCAAGACAAGTCTTTCTGTTGTGATGACTACTCAATTTGTCTAGACTCATAAAGATTTAAATACCTTAATTTTGCATTAAAATTAAAACTCTCTTTTTCATACCTTATTTCTAAAAGGGTCAGTTTAACAGCTATTTTGGTTTTTCCTCATCAGTGGAAAAAAGGAGTCATGTCAAAAACTCCTTTGTTCATTTGCTAACCAAAATTAAAGTGAAACATAAAACTGAATGTTTGATTATTTGTTTATAATTTAACAACAGGATTTTGTTTTGATTTTTAAAATGTTGGGGTTTTAAATTCAGGTTTTATAAAATGGACAATTTTTTACTGTTCAGCATTTCACTAAGATCACGATCAGAATATCCTGTGATAATGCTCCATAAAATGACACAACCCATTTTGCCAGATTTATATTTTGGGGGCTGCTACATGAAATTTGCTGACCTTCATTTATATAGTGACATATTTGTTGAGTTAGTTACCTGAACTAAAAAGAAAAGAAAACAACGTTTGCTTAGTTCAGAAAAATATTTTTTGTTTTAAAGAGATGGCAATTTATGAAGTCACTTCAGAGAAGTTGTGGCATAAGGTGACTCGGCGTCTCTGTCCAACCACTAGCCTCAGAACTACAGATCTTCAAAACCAGTGCTTCCCCTCATGCCGGATGCCCATTCACATGATAGGAGAAGCTAAGAAACAGTTAAGACCCATCAAAGACAAACCTGGAAGCATATGAGTTGTCTGGATTTAGACCTACTGAATATTAACAGATCCAGATTAGGTAGCTAGGATCAAGATATGCAAAGGATCCTGGATCCAGTTTGGAATCTGACTGGAACAGAAGTAGCTTCAAATTATTTGCCTGGATACCATTTGATAGATTTAGCTGGCAACCAAGTATTCAAGAGCAGTGGTAACAGCTGCAAAAGAGACAAAGCCATCAGTGCCATAGCAGAACAGCTTCCCTTATGAAAGAAGCTTTCCCATCTGACTAATGTGAGCTGAATTATGTTAGCTACTGATGAATAAATCTAAGATAGCTTTATGCTGTGAAATGGGCTTAGGGGTATTTTTTGACGGGAACAGAAAAAAGGAAGAAATGTTGGCCACAAGTCAGTTCGGATATATAAGCTAATAAGTTATCTAAAATATGTTTGCTTCTCCAAGCTAATTAGACAGCAGGTTCAAGAGAGAAAAAGTCACTTTTAAAGGTAAAGGTAACTTGGTTGTTAAGGTCTTTGAACCTCAGAATGGAATAAGATTTTAATGGTTTTAAACATAATCCTAAAATACTGTTTGAACCATTTCAAATAATCCTAGAATACTGTTGAAACTGTTTAAATTTCAGTAGTCATAAGAAGTGTTCATTATAAATAGGGGTCTACCTAAATTGCAGGGCTACTTACCAATTTTTGCAGGCTGATCATGGCATAAAGTTCTAATTCCATGGCCATTTCATGGCAGCTCCACCCCTTGACACTGATTGGCAGGGAGGCCCCAGGAGGAAGAAAGGACAAGACGGTGCCTGCCATCTTGATCGCTGGTTGCCTTTGTGCAGCCCCACCCCTTGGCACTGATTGGTGGAGAGGCACGGGGGAGAGGAGGAAGAACGAGGGGGCAAGCTGCCATCTTGCCTGCTGGCCTTCATGCCACCCCACCAGCCAGCGCATGGCAGCAGACATCACTGTCTCCCACTGAAGAGTCATCATTTTATTTTTATTAAGTTTTTGTTGTTGTTGATTTTGTGTATTGAATAGAAATCCATGAAACCGCCAATTAAGTAGGTCCCTAAATATAAATAGTACTGAAACATCCCTTTTTCATCAGAGAGCTCAAAATTACTAATGCTGTAGAATAGCAAGGCAGTTCCTTTGGGTTTAACATTTTAAGTCTTAAAATACTGATTGGAAAACTGGTCAAAAAGAAAACAGCCTGTTTGATTACTATAGAGGCTTCCACAACATCCTTTTCATAAATTTCATAGACATTAGGACCAGAAGGGACCTCATAAAATCATTGGGTCCCGCCCCCAGCCCCCTAGCAGGAAGTCAGCTAGGGTTAAAGGATCCCAGCAAGGTAAGCATCCAACTGTTTCTTAAGTGTCCAGAGTAGATGCTTGCGCCAGCTCTGGGGGGAGTCTATTCAAGGCTTTGGGGGCTCGGACAGTAAAGAAGTTTTTCCTTATGTCCAGCCAAAAACAGTCTTGCAGGAGTTTGTGACCATTAGACCTTGTTACTCCTTGTTGTGGTCTGGTGAACGGGCGTTCCCCCAGATCCTGATGCACACCCCTTTATGAACTTACAGGCTGCCACCAAGACCCCCATGAGCCTGCACTTCTCCAAGCTAAAGAGTCCCATGCCTCTCAGCCTCTTTCCCTAAGGCCTGTTTTTCTTGCCCTCTGATCATGCATGTGGCTCTCCTCTGGACTCTTTCAAATTTCTCCACATCCTTTCTGAATTGTGGAACCCAGAATTGGATGCAGTACTCCAGATGCGGCCTCACCAAGGCCGAGTACAGCAGGAGGATGACATCCTGGGTCTTGGTCGAGAAGCATCGGTAGATATAAGCCAGAGTTTTGTCTGCTTTGCTGGTTGCGGTATCACATTGGTGGCTCATGTTCATCTTGTGATCAGTCATGACCCCCAAGTCTCTTTTGGCCATGGTGCTAGCAAGTGCATCATGACTAAGCCTATAAGTGTGATGTGGGTTTCCCCCTCCCCGCCCCCCCGTGAGGTGCAGCACCTTGCATTTCCCCATACTGAATGCCATCAGGTTTACAACTGCCCACCTTGCAAATCTATCGAGGATAGCCTGGTGATTCAAGCAGACCTTAAGTGTGGACACTTCCCTGAAGTTTGGTGTCATCAGCAGATTTAGCCAGTCTGCTAACCAGAGTCCAAATCGTTTATAAAGATGTTAAAGAGTACAGGTCTGAGAATGGAGCCTTGGGGGATACCACTGGTCACCGAATGTCATGTTGATTCAGTTCCATCGACTACCACTCTCTGGGTCCAACCTTGGAGCCAGTTCCCCAGCCATTGCACTGTAGGATAGTTAAGGCCGTAGTTACCCAATTTTTCCATGAGAACATCATGGGACACCAGGTCAAAGGCTTTTTTAAAGTCCAAATATATGATATCAACCTCTTTCCCCTTTGTCCAAGTGATGCATTACCTGGCCATAGAAGGAAATAAGGTTGGCCAGGCAACAAACCCATGCTGGCTATCCCTCAGAACGCTGTTTTCTGTTAGCCTGTCGAGAATGATTTCTTTGATACTTTTTGCAAGGTCTTTCCAGGGACTGAGGTAAAACTGATCGCCCTGAAGTTTCCTGGATCTTCTTTCCTTCCTTTCTTGAAGATAGGCACTGCACTGGCCCCCTTTCAATCTTCAGGTACTTTGCCCAAGCACCACAAGTTCTCAGATATCCTTGCCAGTGGCAGCACTACCAGCAAGGAAGATTCGCTTGAGAATTTAAGCTTTGCACCAGTACTCTACTGATAACAGAAATAGGAACGGTTTTTTTGGATGCAAACTTGGGATTTTGATCCAAACTTTAAATTTAATCATGTGTAATAAGTGTATGTAGCTCTGCTTTAGTCATTAGTCTTACTTAACCAGATAAAATTTGAATGAACATGTCAATCTTATCTGCATAAAATGTCTGACACTATTAGAACCAGAAAACATGGGGTGTATTTCTGCATGGAACACCCCAAGCAGTCACTCTTGCATTGTAAAATGCATTCCAGATAGAAGTGTTATTCATAAAGGAACTGAACTCCTGTTTGAATACCAAGATGCCCACAGAGGTAATACCACTCAAAAGAACTGCTTGTCTTTAAACAGTTTTAAAGTCTTGTCTTTTAAAATTTGAAAGTCTACTTGGGAAAAGACTTAGAATTTCGAAGTTCACAAATGGAGCCAGTTGAAATCCATACAGACAGCCACAGTGGAGAGAGGGATATTTCCTGAGATTCTTCTTTTAATATAAGAGGAATTCCCTTTTGACTACATGGAGGAATATCCTTTGATATATATGCAATATAATACTATAAAGTATGATTTCCATGAGATGAGTGATATAGTAAAGTTCATACCTGAACTTTGAGCATTTCTTTATTTCATGACTAGAAGGGTATTTTTAAAATAAAAAGAGAGAAACTTCAGGACTGTCAGAGGAGCACTGATGTCCAGGTTCAGCAAAAAGACTTACCCACACCTTCTAGTCTTAGATCTCCACCTCTGGAAATAAAGGTATAAAGGGCAAAGAAAGACCAAAGGAAATTCTAGACCCACAGATTGAGAGAAGTCCTGTTCAGAGAAGACTTATAAACTTCATTTTTTTCCAGTAAAGTTATCAAATCAATATTCATTTTTTCCAGTAAAGTTATCAACCTTGGATCAAGGTAGCTAGACCAATAAGTGCATAAAATGTACAGCTTGCCTCTGACAAAGAGCAACCTTTGAGGTAGCTGAGAATTTGAAGCGTCCATTCTCCTTTGTACATTTGAAAGGCCTGGGCAGTGGGCCAATACAGTTTCTATTGTATTCAGAGGAAGGGTTTGTTTTAAATACATTTACACCAGCAAAAGTCTAGCGTAGATGCAATTTATACCAGCAGAAAAGTGCCTCTGATGCCAGAATTTATTTCATTCACGGAAGCAATATAAGTTGCACCTGGACGGAGAGCAGTGGATGACAGAACATCTGGGCCCGTAGAAGTTGCACCTATAGTAGCAGTATAGCTATATCATGTACTCTATTTAAAGTGAACGTCCCTGGTCCTGAAAAAGGCCAACCCAAACTTAATGCAAAAATGAGTGCTTATTAAGTACACACCACTATCATAGTGGTAGTACCAGCAGGATGGATAAAAATAACATTAAAAAAATAATAAAATAAATAAATAATAATTAAAAAAATTAAAAATGGATGTTTTATTTAAATCATTTTTTATTTAATCATAAGTTTGATGTTTAAGACACTTCTTAAAAAATAAACCTATATAAAAGGTAGTTCTAACTTAAGATAGATTAAAGCCCAGAAATATCAATCGTGGAATAGGATTATAACTTCTAATTACATACTATTTGAGACAATATATTCATGTAATGTTTTTAGAAGTTTTATAAGTAGGTCACAACCGGCCATGTTAGGTGCCCAATCTTACAGGGTTCCCAGAAGCTTCTCTATAGATTAGTGAAGATTACAGAAAACCACTCAACCCAATGGGACTCAGTGCTCAGTCTAAAAGATCCCATTAAGCATCTCTGTGATGCTTACTTTCAGTTCTCAAGCTGTGGATTTGTTTCCCCAGAGATAACATCCTTGCTAACAGCACTATATGGAGATGAGAGATAACAGACCTGATTACCTACCCATCAGCCCTCTTGTCTCTCTGCAAGTTTGTGTACACACGATCAAGCCCTTACCTCTCTCTAAAAGTGCAAAGTTCCAAGAAGTGAAATGAATCAAGGATATCAAACAACAAGAATGCACTTTTCGTAGAAAGCAATGATTAAATCGAGGCTTCCTGATCAGTGCTTTAAATCGTAATTTAAATCATGATTTAAATCTACTTGATTCAACTCAAATCCACCCTGACCGGAAGCTATGAAACTGACTAGCATTCCTTGTTTTCAGTATTCAATTTTTGAGCTGCTATTAGAAGCCTGGATATTAGGGGGAGCTAATGGGTAGCAGGGCAGCTAAGACTATAGTACCAAGAGCCCAATATTCTTAAGGAACATTGTTTACAGCACTGTCAGTGCTGTGGTATTAGCAGCCCAGAAACTGCCTAGCTCCCCTCATTCTCAAGGCTTCGAACAGTGATTATCAGGGCTGCTATAAGATACCTTGAACATTATGGGAAAGAGCAGCAGTGAAACTCACTAGCTCCTGTCATTTGCCAGGCTTTAAATAGCAACCTTTTGACATCTGCTGCAACTGCCCTGTTTCTGGCACAGTTCAACAGAGTACAATTAATTACAAAATAGACTGTTACAGCTACAATCCAGTTAACCAGAGTACAATTAAGTTGCAAAATAGACAGATACTAGGTATTAAGCTGAAATGCAAATAACCCAGTGTGTTACAATGTAAGGGGCAGGCAACAGATTGGATAGGATATTGTGTTACCCATTTAAGCAAATCACATGCTTACCCAGTATGTAGAAATGTAGAGTACAACCTATTAGCAAACCTTTAAGTTAGACCCGACACCTGAATTTAGTGAGATCATGCCTCTACCAAAGATAGGAGCAAAAGAAGGAATGACACACCTCTCACAACAGCCCAATTCCCACTAATAGTGAGATAAGTATATGGCCCCAGATGCAAACTACATATTCTCAACTTGTAGATAGACAAGTATGTATGTCAGATAGCAAAAAAGCTGAAGCTAAACAAGAGCAAGGAAGAAGCCGAGCCATTGAGCATCAAAACCCTTTAAGTCAAGGACTGGTTGCTTACTGGGGGGTAAGGTCTCAACAAGGAAGCAGACTGAATTTTATTAGAAGTTTAGAATTGTGAATCCAAAAAGATGACAAAACCAGTAGGGAAATACAAATCGCCCGAGCGAGGGACTAACATTAGAGGAATGGGGGTGAGGAGGGGACTACAACTAGGTTACAGAAAATACAATTACTACAAGAATACACCTATAACTATAGGAGTTTCATTATGTCTCCTGTTTTCACAGTCCAAATAGTGATTTCATCTTCATTCTCCCAGCTTCCAGTTTAATTAAAAAGCAATGTAATGTATTTTGCTTAAAGCAGAACACATATACTTTATTTAGAAACATCTGTGTGATGTTATAAGAAATCAAAAGGGGCCAAGAATTAAAACCCATCAAGCTTCATGTTGGTAGTTCAATTTAAAAAGGGATGTTTCCTTACTAGGATGCAAGGACAATGTACAAGTGCCTCAACATTTACTTTCCCATCTGGGCAAAAGCTTTTAGTTTTATCACCACCATGTTATAGAATTGAATAGGTCTACAGCTGTGATTTTCCTGTGTTTGCTGTCATTCTGAAGCAAAGTTAAGCCAATGCAAGAAAACTAAAATCTTTTACATGGTGCTAGCTAAAGCTATACAATGTATAGTTCTTGCTGAAGAAAATAAAATGAACTGAGTAACAAGTTGTTGGGGTTTTTTAATAAATAGAAAAAACATTTATAAATCTAATGACAGAAGCATCAGAAAAATCACTTAGAGTGAAAAGAGAACACAAATCCCGTGCAATATTACAAGATGACTGATTTAGGCTCTTCTGGTGGCTGAAGCACATACTTCACAACACTACTGTTATACATAATGGTTATAGCCTACAGACATGCAAATTCAGCATTTCCAAGATTGTGTTTTTTTCAATGTGCAGCCTTATCAATATATAGCTACACATTTTTGCATTTAACCCATGCATCTCTAGGAGTAAATAAGCATCTTACATAACTGAATTTCTTATACAACTAATTCTTTCCCCTTTTATACATAAAATCAATTAAACTTATTTAACCAACTATATAAATGCAGAATATATATAGATTGATTGCAGAAGGTGACAAATTACCTGAAAATACATAGTTGCATTTCATCAGTGGTCCTTCTACATGTCACAAAGACTATTTTAAAATGGTCAAATGTCAATTACTTAACTAAGCATCCGTCAGTTGTCAACATACTAAGTCGAAAAGGGTTGGGGAGGTGGTGGGATGTCGCCCCACGTCCTAGAAATATCAACTTTCAATTTGACGATATCAAATCAAGAACTGTTTCTTAAAAAAAATACACCAAGTGTTTGGCATATGCAAAATGTTTGCTGAAGTGAAATGTCTGTTACCAGAAAAGTGCTAGGGAGTTTGGTATCATTTACTGTATAGAATTAGTAAGTGAGGCTTTGGTCAGACAACCTAATAAATAGTCAGTACTACCAGAAATTATATACAATTACTTTTATCTGCAGCATCATTGATGTTTTACTACACAATCGGACATTAAAGAAATACAGTCACCTTATAATTCCTGAGTACATTATACATAACTGCACTATCTCGTCTCACCACTAAAAACAGCCTTTGACCCTTGTGCTCCCCCCTAAAGAATCACTGACATTATTCTACATTATAAGCTTTGTACGAAATGGGAACGTATGTGTATAAACAACACTGAACATGACTTTCAAAACAGGAGTGAACACCCAGCCCCTAAAGCTTCCAAAGACTAGGTGTCCCCCCTCTTTCTCTTTACCAATCCGTGCCCCAGCCAGTTTGAGCTAGAAGACAGTAAGCCACAGCACTCGCTCCTCTGGGCTAGCAGAACAAGCAGTGCCACCCTCGCATCCAGGTGTCAAAACCATCCCCACAGCCGGGGCTAACACCAGGCTCTACCGCGCATCTTCGCTGCGTCTCGTTTCCTTTCCTGGAAGGAGCCCGGGACTCGCAGCAGGTGCGTCGCCGGCGCCCCCTGACGGCCCAGCAGCTGCAGCAGCGGCTCCCTTTCTCTCCCAACTCATCCACATAAACAAGATCATCCTAAACCTTCGACTAAAAGAGCCGGAGGAGAGGGAACCGTGCAGATAAGTAGATTAAGGCCGAAGAGAGTCGTTTTCTGATTATTCCTCCAGTCTTGCCTGTCCGTGCCCGAACGCCTCCCCCAGCCCTCCGCACGAGGGGGCAGGATGCGCACACGCACACTCGGGCTTTCCCGACCCCGTCAGCGAGGAGCTGGCACCGGCCGCCGCCCCCCCGCCCCGGCCCGTGGCCCC